CTTAAATGAAAAGGAAAAAGGAATCATGGATCAATCCAAAAATAAGCCCCGCGGCTTATATTTTTCAAAGGTCCTTTTTGAGGGCTTATTTTTGGAGGGGCCTATATTCGGAGGGGCTTATCTAAGGAGGGAGATTTGCGTTACAAAATCGATTGAGCTTCTCTTATAGATGGAAATAAATTTACCGTTTTTGCTTTGTTTAACTCTGTATTTGAGGGCAATTTTCCAAGTACAAGCCCCCGGGGGGCTTTTATTTTGAGGGGTGATTTAACGGAGGGTTTTTTGCGTTAGCGGTTTAGGGGGCTTATATTTGGAGGGGCTTATTCATAGAGGGGCTTATTTTCGGAATTTTACGGTAATCTAATTATGCTGGCTCGAGTTTCTTTTCATCTCCTTTTTCTGCGAATAAATGCAAAAAGCAGGGCGAAATCAATCATATTTACCACATTACTAAAAGTTACAAATAAAAACTTTAGTTTTCAGCTAAGCTTTGTTACTTACAATGTGAAAATACTAAAATTTCAAGTAAATGAAGATAGCTCTATTTAATTTCCTGATTCACTACAGACACGTCAATACATTCAACACGGCCAAGCATCTCAATCACACCACCAAAGTAAAAGCCCAAGCATGAAAGCTAAACATAACCAGACTGAGAGAATTAATTTGAATTCCTGACCCCTATTGTCCAAAAATAAAAACTCCTGATATTTGATTTGTTCAGTACAAGAGAGGATATCCTCTCTTGTTTAGCATCATATTCTTAATAAAGTGCGATTTTAATTTTTTTTTTTTTTGGTCTTACTAAATTTTAGAATTATTGTCAGTCGATTATCTAACCTGAGAAAAGGCCACCTTCTCACATTTGGTTTCTGTTGTCCATATTCCGCTAAAAGTAACGTTCCCATGCGTTAACATGGGTTTGTCCTGAAACGCTACCCAGTTGATTACTCCAGTGTCATTTGTAGAACCTGATGCACGCGAGCATAACTGAAATCCAGCTGTACTAATGGACTCTGCCCACACGGTGGAAGGTGAATGGACAACTGAAGACTGATCTTCGTGGCATAATGACACAAATACTCGAACCTGAAATGCGTCAGGTAAAAATATGCATTAATGAGAAATCAAGACAAGACAAGACAATATTTATTTGGGTCTTATAACACCTGATGCATCAACTGTTTACCAAACAATTTAAAATTACGACCTTCTATGTTATAACATCATATATAACAAGTTGTTACAAATAGCAATAGTTAGTAAACAAAACTGCCACCCTTAATTGACGCCTCCACCCCTCCCCATCCCCAATCCTGGTCCTATTCGGATTAGATATTTTCCAACCTAAATTTATCGTCAGAATCCTCTGACTTTCTTGTTTTGTTTAAAAACAACGACGCATTTTAGGGATTATGGAGCACTTGAATATACCTATGTGCACTAAATTCGCTGAGGTCATAACATCATAAAAGCCACAATGTTGGCAAATCAAAATTTGTTAAGAAGATAGTTTCTAAAGAAGCTTATTGCGGTCTGCTTCTATCACAAAGATTTCGCGAACCCATTAGAGGAAGCCACTTTATAATTTCTTTAGGAGGGTTTACTTACGGTTCCAGATCCACTAAACGTTTGCGGAAATACCACGTTAGTGCAGCGTGGCAGTGTACAATGTTGTGGTGCCTCACATCCGCTGTTGCATTTCCATCCTTGACGTGTCTCTGATACGTTTAGCTTGCCAACTTGATACGAAGTGCCTACAACAATATCAATAAAATAATGTCACACTATTTTTTTTTTCACTGTATTTAAGTGTAAAATGGGCCAAAACATAACAGAGCTTGATGGTACGAGCGTGTGATGTGCAAGGGGACGTGATTACAGAGAGACGGGAGAGTGACTGTATAAGAATTGAAAGAACACAAAATCGAAAAAATATTACGTGCTGTTCGTGCGGGTCTCTCAGAGGCACCGGCAACAGCGTCGGAAATTTCAAATTCTCCCATAACTCACTGTTAGTGAGTAAATCCATTTTAAGTTTCTCGCGTTTTCTTCCGCTTATTATATAAAGTGCTTAAATTCAGCGACTAGCCTTATCTTATCTTAGGCCATGTCAAGATATTAGAATACTTAATATAAATAACTTGCCCTCTTCTTTCCTATCAATCGAATACCGTTCTGTTATCGCTTCAAATGGAAACAAGGGGGGGTTTTTTTTTTTTCCTTAAAGCCTCAGGGCAGTTATAACGGCTATTAAAGCTGGGATTAAAATAGATTTCCACGAAATAAACTGATCCTCCTTTAACGTCGTCCTTACTATCGATTTGGGGATGATATTTTCAATTGCTGGGGCAAAAGAAAAGGCCTCCTGTTGAAAGCGGTTTTTTCTTTTTTTTCTTTTTATTGATTTATTTTTTTTTTCTCGCCAACTTTTAGTTCTTATTTCTGGGAAGTTTTGAACTAGACCAGACTGTAACTAAAACACATCGTTGTTCCAAAATTAAGTAAAGCGGGCTAATGAAAAAATAAAAACTCAGTTTAACGAACTGGCGCCACTTTTGTATGTGTCTGTCTTCTCAGTTGATGTCAAATTGACGTTATTAAACGTCAAAACATCATTACGTCTTGCATAAGAGAGCAATTTGGCTATTTTTCTTAGTAGACAGAAGGTGAATCTCCGACGAAACTAATTCGACTAAAGAAAAAAAATGCATCGAAGTTTGGCATTCGTTCAGCAAATGACCGCGTCTTGCATAAATAAAAATTGTATGTGTCTGTCCTCTTATTGACCATAAAAATTAGCCAATCAGCCTGCCAGAAATAATTTCCAGTTGTCATTGCTTTTTTCTTTTCCTTTTGACCTAGTGTGACAATGACATGAGTAATAAATTTGTGAGGATTAAACTGACAGAGCTGTTATTACGACTCAAAAACTTTGCAATGAGGTTTAGCAAATTTTAAATCTATTTTTGCAACGGACACTTTTGAGTTGGAGGTATCTTTGACTTAGGTGATTTTCTGGACTTTCCTGCCAACCGGAACCCATTAGATGCGGCCGCAGATTCTCATCTCGTAAAGGGGTAAGTTGCTGAACGCCTTCTTATCTTAGCTAGTCGCGAACTAACTAAAAAAAAGACAATGAAAAAGAGAAAAAAAAGAACGTTTAAATGGAAAAGACGGCCCATCTACGTTTGCCCTAGTTTGTGAAACAAGCTCACTGACTCTGGTAAAATAGAGAACACCTGAGCTCCCGCTAGCCTCGGTACACTTAATCACTAAAAATATTTCTTTACAAAATATTACAGATATAAAATGTTTGAATACATCTTTTATAGTTTTCACTAACAGAGCTTACTTTTAAACAAAATATAAGTCAGGATATCCACCCATGACAAAAAAAATTAAGAGAAAGAGCTAAAATTGGACACAATGGCCGTTTTTATGCTAGAGACGTTAAAGTCGTCTAGACGCATTTAACGTTTGAGACGTTAAAGTCGTCTGGTGTAATAACGGGACGCCCAAAAGTAGACGACCTTATTTAAAAAAGTAGATTTTTCTGAAAAAAAGGACTAGGCTTACTCTCGGAAGACACTGGACACGAGTTAAAGCGGCACCAAAAATGAACTTCTCTGGACGAGTCGAGCATAAATGCGTCCTAGTTTACGACGTCCCGTCTTTATACCAGACGACTTTAACGTCTCAGACATTAAAGTCGTCTGTTAAGTGCGTCGTTCGGACGCACTTAACAGAAGACGTTAAAGCCGTCAGACGTTAAATTCGTCTGCCTTATTTACCGTTTTTATACTAGACGTTAAAGTCGTCTTAAGACGACTTTAACGTCTCAGACGACTTTAACGTCTCTAGCATAAAAACGGCCAATGTCGTTGACGTCCATGGGGCTCAATTAAATGCTAGAAACCTTGCATATTAATTTTTTCGAAGTACAGAAAAAAAAGCTACAGACGTAGAGTAATATTAGCTTAAAGAAATGTCACATTATTGTACCTTTTACAGTTGGAGCAAAAATCCCCAGATGAAGGAGAAATAAGAAGGTTACAAGTTTTGTCAGCCCCATCTGCTGGATACAAGAAATGCAAGGTGATCAAGACACCTGATGAACATCGGGGCTTCAAAACATTCATTTTATAGTTGAACGTGTGGTAAGCTCATTAGATCTATCGTGTTACTCAATAAACAAAGTAAAGGTTTCAAGACCGCGTTTCAGCTTGGTATGCAATATTATCTTGCTAAGTTAAACGCTGATTGGATAATAAGAGAAAAGCACTTCAAAACAAAGAAGTCAGTTACTATAAGGTCAGAACACAAGAGTGCGGTATTGTGTGATAAGCTGATTTGCCCTTATGCCCAGCTCTGGAAAGTATATTACTTTTATCTTTGCCTAAAAACTAAAACAGAGCCCCTTTGCATGCGCATCATCACGAACGTTACCCCCGGGGGTACTCCCTATAATGGCCTACACGGGGAAGCTCTGCCAGAAAGGGACATCTGTTTTTTTCAGGCTTCAGGCCTATGTGAAATTGGGTAGAGATTTCACTCATGAGTTGAAGTATATGAAAGGGTAGGAAAATCTGTCATTTCGGTCTGCAAAATGAGGGCTTTATAAAGGGCTTCAGAAGGATTTTGTGGCTGAGGAGAAAGTCGAGAAAATTGGTTTTGTGATTTATCCATACTTAAAAGACAGTGACTCTACAGCAGTTGAAGGGATGCAAAGTTGAAACTAGGTATGTGAAAGGGGTACCTACCATTTGTCAATGGAAGGTGTACTAAAGGGGTATACACTTTTTCTGCCAAAAATGGTATATGAAATGGTAAGTCCTTGTACCCCTGGCTCTGAACGCAGTAAAATAACTGTAATATATATTTAATCTCATCCGTAGCATGACCCGAGCTAAATAAATTAAAATGAATGGTGTTTCTGGCCGATAAGCAATAGAATCCGCTCAGATTCGTTTTAATTTTGTACAGGACGAAACCTTATACCATATACGGAATATCTAAGAAGGGAAAATGGTTGACAAGTTCGTTGTTTCAGCACATTATCGAATTCGTTTTGCATCTAATTAAATGAGGGATAAAAGGTACTAACTGCTGCTTCCTTCAAAATCGTGCGGGTATGGAATGACTCTGGAATAGCTCGCACAAAGGTAATTGTTTCCAGTTTTTTTTTTCTCTTATCTTACATTCCCACATTTCGTGTTGCTGTAAAAACGTAATTTCACCCTCGAATGTTGTCGTCCCTATAGTAACAATGGATCGATCAAAAGTGCACTGAAACTGCTATTAAGCGGACACCTTCGGGCCTTCCCAAGTGTCGGCTTAATAGAGGTTTGTAAAAATTGCGCAATGTTTGTTAACGATTAACATTCAACGGCTACTCTGTGCTGTGATTAAGTTCCATCCTTGTTGTTGAGACAACCGTTGAGGAAGCTGAGGAAGCTGTGCCGTACTTTGCTCAAGATGAGCTTGAGCTTTGATCGCGGATGACAATTATATTGCTGAATATCGGTCTAATCTACAGTTTATTGAAATGTAAATGTATTGATTTATCTTTACTAATCGACTACTGTACGTATTTCGAGGAAGTAATCCAATACTGCTATTGTCAGTTCAGTCCGGTGTCTGTTTTGGGACGGACCATTAGAAACGTTATGGGGGTGGAGGGGAATTTTCAAGCCGCAGGAATTTTTTTTTGTTATCAAATTCCTCGTATGAATTTTTTTTAGGCCATAGCGTGAATATTTTTTAGGATTAATTGGCGTGCATGATTTTTTTTTTTTTCATTTAATTCTCCCTTGCGCGAATATTTTTTTTGTACCTCGACCCCCCCCCCATAAGTTTTCTAATGGTCCGTCCCTTAGTAGAGGTTTTTAACAATAGAAATTAGCCAAATACGATTTATTTTAGTGTCCGCGTCCGCTTAACAGAGGTGTCCACTGAATAGGGTTCTTTATAAAAGGAAATATAAGACGTTAATTTCGGAACCCAGCTTGAAACAACATAGCATATAAACAGTTATAGAATTTGTCCTTGTTTTAACCCAACTATGACGCACTGTTTCAAGCAACGTCACAAGGTGCTTCTCGAGCAACTACAAATTCCCAACGTAGGCGTCAGAGATTTCAAAACTGATTTTCGATATTTCCACCTCACTAGTCCTTTCTGGGGAAATCCTTGTTAGTCAGTCTCTTCATCCGCCTACTAATGTGCCTTCTTTCAGTGGGTGACAAAATCTTACACTATAAATCTCAGGGAACAACATGTCTTTCCAGTTTCTCGAGATAATTCAAGCAGTTCAGAATCTTATTAAAATTTTATTTTACTTTAATTCTTTCCACTCAGAGGCTAGGGCAGATATGACAGAAATGATTTTCTAAAGATTACACTGACAGATTTACTTCAAGCAAATCGAGAACTTTGCAAAGTTCAACAACTTTTGACTGAATACCATTTCCTCAACAACTAAGAAAAAGTATTTTAATAGTTCTAGCTCCAAACTAAGGTAAATTGCCCGCAATTCTCGGCTTCGTAACGGGAACCTATATAGAGGTCCTGCAGATCCTTATTTCTTACATGTAAGAGAGTAAGTTGTCGTTACCATTCCGTGGTGACTGCTTTCGCGTTTTAACTAGTGGCGAGCAACTCTTAGAAAAGCAAAAAAGGACTATTATATTCAAATGAAAGAGACGAACGTGTGGGCTGACGCGCAGTTGGCAAGCCAAACTCACTTGCAAAATGGAAATCTGAGCTCGACC